CTAGGATGCTATTATTTAGGAGTACAGAGGAATGATTCTCGAAGGGGGGCTTTTGGAACAGCCGAAGTTCCTTGTATTTTCGGAGCTCCCTTTGCTTTTCTTTTTGGCTATGCAAGACTCGAAATTTTTGATAATCTGGGAAAAGCGTGCTGTAATGCTTCAATTGTTTGTTTTCTTGGGTTAGGTAACATGCCTTTTATGGACTCCACCACTCTACCTTTACCTGGCGGCGGAAAATCTAGGCCATTGCAGTAACCTAAGTCCCTTTTTCCGTCTGCGATACATAGCAGGCCCGAGCATTATAGCTTGCTTCATTGTCATGGGGCCTGGATCGCTAAAATATATTTAGAGCTGATTACAAATATTATGTAGAGACCAAAATTCAAGGGGTTTCATCAATGAGTTTATGGGTTATCCAATTATGACAAAATATCGGAAAACTCAACAGCACGTATGATAAATGTTTATAAAACCACTGCCATACGTACCTTTTAATTTTCTTATCTATATGTACAGAAATTCTTATGCATATTGGGCGGGAGAGGTAACATCCCCGTCGAAATTGTATTTACATTAGAGTTATCCTTTCCTTTTGTTTTAAAATTTTTGGTGATTGTTAAGCACAAGTAATTGCCAATTTTTTGCTATCATGTATGATATTCCATAAAGCCATTAAAAAGGCGCCTAATCCGTACGTTGGTTTTGTAATTCCCGGGTCTCGGTTGTTGCTATTTTAGTAGCCTTAACCCCTATTATTTGGATTTTACTAGGCACCCTGTCTTTCCAATTCTTGAAATAGAGAGTACCCTCCTCTGTGGCTCGTTCAGTGGTTGTTGCATATTTGCAGCAGCTTTAGGCTTGTTCAGCCTATGCATCATGAACAACATTTGTATTTATTAATTTCTGTAAATTCGTCGAAGTTGACCTTTACCGTACCACAAATTGCTGCTCGTATAATCTTGTTTACGGGCGCACTTCTGTTCATTTACCTGGTTTTTCTACGATGTTCTTTGCGGTAATCACAGCCTCCTGTGTTGCCTGCTTGTTCGGGATTTCGTGTACCTAAGCATTAAAATAGTGTCATTGTACTTGTTTTCTTTCATCTTCATTTTTAATGCTGAATTCGTCCCTTTTCACTTATGTTACCCATTAGGCTGGAAGTGCATCAATATGAGTGATTATGTATTGGAGTGTCCGATTTGCCTCGGAGAATTTAAACATCCTGTAATGCCTCCTTGCCAACACGTTTTTTGCTATCCCTGCATATCGAGGTACATTCAAAAAAGCGAGGCGAAATGCCCTATCTGCCGAACGGCCTTTAGTAAAGAAGATCTTCGGCGTAGTCTGCAGATCGAGCAATTGCTCTCGGCAAAGAATAATGTGAGTCTGGCATGCAACAAATCATCATATCTATTTCCCATCTTTGACTCCGCTGAGATCGTGGCGCTCAGTGCTTAAAAACTGCACACATTGTAATGTCGATTCATTTCAAGAACCATCGTAGACGTTAGGCATTAACTGCTTCTGTAACAGTCATCTACCGATTTTTCATTACCGACTTGATGGTGCTGAAAAGCTGCAATCGCATTATTTCTTAGTGCTCTTGTTTTTTTTGCAAAGGAACCGGTCCCGCCATGCGAATCTGATGGCTACCCAAAGTCA